ATTGCCAAATTAAATTCAGCAGTGTGGGAGAATTCTGATTTTTCTACATCCTCACCAACACTTGTTATTGATCTTTTTGATTTAGCTGTCATAGTGTGGTTATGAAGCTGTTTCTCATTGTTTGACCTGCATTTCCCTGAAAGGTTGTTAATGATGTTGAGTATCTTTTCATGTGCTTTTTTGGCCATTTGTGTGTCTTCTTTGGAGAAATGTTTATTCAGATTCTTTGTTTCATTTAAGAAATTGGATTACTTATCTTCTTGAAGAGTTTTTTAAAAACATTTGTTTATTGTTTTTGAAAGGGAGAGCAAGAATCCCAAGCAGGCTCCGTGCTGACAGTGCGGGACTAGATCTCACAGAACACGAGATCATGACCTGAGCTGAAATCAAGAGTTGGTTGCTTAACTGACTGAGCCACCCAAGCGCCTTATCTTTTGGAAGAGTTTTAAGAGTTCTTCATGTAGGGGTGCCTGGCTGGCTCAGTTGGTGGAGTATGTGACTCTTGATCTTGGGGTTGTGAGTTTGAGCCCCAGGTTGGGTATAGAGATTACTTAAAAATAAAATCTGGAAAAAAAAAAAAAGTTCTTCATACAAGGGGTTTGTCTGGATACAAACCCCTTGTCATATAGAATTGGTAAATATTTTCTCCCACCTGTGCATTTTCTTTTCACTTTCTTAATAATGTCCTTCGAAGAAAAAAAAGTTTTAAATTCCAGTGATATCCAGTCTATATTTTCTGTTTTCTCATTTATTGCATGTGATTTTGATGTCTTCTATATATATATGAAACTATTGCCTAATCCAAGGTGGCGAATATTTTAGCTTTTATGTTTAGGTCTTTGATCTTTTTTGGGTTAATTTTTTGGGTTAATTTTGTTTTGGGTTAATTTTTGGGTAATTTTTATAATGTCAAAAGTCATTTTTTGCCTGTGGATATCCAGTTGTATCAACACATTTGTTGAAAACACTATTCTTTCCACTGTTGGAATGTCTTGACATCCTTGTCAAAAGTCAGCTGACCATAAATGTGAGGGTTTATTTCTAGATTCTAAATAGTATTCCGTTGCTCTATTTGTTTATTTTTGTGCCAGCACCATACTATTTGATTAGTGTAACTCTATAGTAAAGTTTTGAAATTGCGAAGTATGAGTCTTTCAACTTTAGATTTCATTTTCAATATTTTTTTGGCTATTCTAGGTCCCTTGCTTTTCCATGTAAATTTTAAGATCAGCTTGTCAGTTTCTTCAAAGAAGTCAACTGGGATTTTGATAGGTTTGAGTTGACTGTGTAGATCAACTAGGGAAGTATTGGCATCTTAACAATGTTGTCTTCTGATCCATAAACACAGATATCTTTCCATTTATTTAGGTCTTCTTTAATTTTTTTCAACAATATTTTATAGTTTTAGAGTATAAATTTAACACTTTTTTTTGGTAAAATTTATTCATAAGTATTTTATTTTTAAAAAAAAATTTTTTTTAACGTTTATTTATTTTTGAGACAGAGAGAGACAGAGCATGAACAGGGGAGGGGCAGAGAGAGAGGGAGACAGAATCGGAAGCAGGCTCCAGGCTCTGAGCCATCAGCCCAGAGCCCGACGCAGGGCTCAAACTCACGGACTCAATGACTGTGAGATCGTGACCTGAGCTGAAGTCGGACGCTTAACCGACTGAGCCACCCAGGCGCCCCATAAGTATTTTATTTTTGATGCTATTATAAATGGAAATCTTTTTTATTTTTTACATCACTACTATTAAGAATACAGTTCATTTTTGTATGTTGATCTTGTATCCTGCAACCTTGCCAAATTCATCTATTCTAATAGGTTTTTAGTAGCGTCCTTAAAATTTTGTATATATAAAAACCCTGTCATCTGCAAATTGTGATAGTTTTACTCCTTCACTTTTTATTTTTTATTTTTTTATTTGTTTTTTTAATTTCTTGCCTAACCGCCCTTGTTAGATCCTCCAGTGCAATGTTAAATAGAAGTAGCCAGATGAGACATCCTTATACCCGATCTTAGGGGAAAGTCCTTGGCCTTTAATGGTGCTCTGGGTTTTTGGTAGATGCCATTTAAGAGTTGAGAAAGTTCTCTCTATTCCAAGTTTGTTGAGTGTTTTTAATATAAAGGGGAGTGTTAAATTTTGTCAAACTCTTATTACACCTGTTGAGATGACCATGTGGTTTTTGTCTTTTATTCTGTTGATATGATGTGTTAGATTGATTGGTTTTCATATATTAAATCAACCTTGCATTGTTGGTATAAATCTCACTTCGTTGTGGTATGTACTTTTCAAATATATATACTTGGATTTCACTTGCTAGTGTATGTTGAAGATTTTTGTGTGTATATTTGCAAAAGATTAGTCTGTTCCATTTCTTGTGATGTCTTTTGTCTCATTTGGTATGAGGGTAATATTGCTCTTACACGGTGAATTGGGAAGCATTCCTTCATCATCTGTGTTTTGGGAGACTTTGTAAGGGATGGTATCTATTGTTCTTTAAATGTCTGGTAGAATTTTCCAGTGAAGCTGCCTGGGTGTGGGCTTTTCTTTGTTGGAAGTTTTACAGTTATTCAATTTGTCTGCTTGTTATATTCAAAAAAATTTTTTTTTTTAGTTTTGCAAGACTGTTTCTAGGAATTTGTCTGTTTCCTCTATGTTATCTAATTTGCTGGCCTATAATTGTTCATAGTATTTTCTTATGATCCTTTTTATTTCTGTAAAGTCAGTGGTAATTTTTCTTTTTCATTCCTGATTTTAGTAATTTGAGTCTTTTACCTTTTTTCTTGGTTAGTCTACTTACAGGTTGTGAATTTTGTTGATATTTTCACAGAACCAGCTTTTGGTTTGTTTTTCTTTTCTTTTTTTCTTTTTTTTTTCTGTTCTCAATGATCTTTTGAAGATACTAAAAGTGGAAAAATTATCTTTTTTTAAAAAAATAGGCTTCATGCCCAGTGTGGAGCCCAGTGCAGGATTTGAACTCAGGACCCTGAGATCAAGACCTGAAATGAGATCAAGAGTTGGATGCTTAACCAACTGAGCCACCCAGGCACCCTGAAAAAGTATCTTTTTTATTTACTCACATATTTATCATTTTCAGTGATCTTCATTTCTTTATGCAAATCTGTTTCCATCTGTTATCCTACTTCTGTTTGAAGAACTTCTGATTCTTTTAACTCAGATCTACTGGCAGTGAATTCTGTCAGCTTTGGTTGTCTGGAAAAATCTTTATTTTGCCTTCATTTTTCAATATATTTTGTTAGATACAGAATATTCGGTTGGCATTTTTTTTTCAGTACTTTAAAGACATTGCTCCATTATTCTGCCTTGAGTAGTTTCTGATGAAAAATATACTAATAATCTTATCTTTGTTTTTCCTTTTACTGTTTTCAAGATTTTCTCTTTTTTCTTTGGTGTTGAGCAGTTTGTGAGGTATGTAGGGTTTTCCCCCTGCTTGGGGTTTATTAAATTTCTTAAATATGTGGTTTGTTTTCAAAAACTCTCCAGCATTTTCTCTTTAAATACTTTTTCTACCCTATTTTTTTCCTCTGTTACTGAGAATCCAAATATTTGTATTTGAGTCTCTTTGATAGATGTGACAGATTTTGAATGCTCTGTTCTGTGTTTTTTCTTTCCCCCACTCCTTTAATTCTTTGTGTTTTACTTAGATAATTTCTCTTGACATGATTCTTTCTGTCTGTGTCCCATCTGCTCAGAAGCCCATGTATGTTATTATTTCTCTTCAATATTGTGATTTTTAAAAAATGTTTTTGTCATTTCCGTTTGATTCTTTTATAGTTTTATCTATGTGCAAGTCCTCAGTTTGTTCATGAATCTTCAACAGCTTTATACAACATCCTTTAACATAGTAATCATATTTGTTTTAAAGTCCTTATCCTAGTCCAGTCTCTAGGCCTTTTCTGGTTCTGATTCTCTTGACTGCTTTAGCTCTTGACAGTGGTTTTTGTTTGTTTGGTTGGTTGGTTGGTTGGTTGGTTGGTTTTTGCCCCTTGATCTTATTATGTGTCTTATAAATATTTATTGAGTGCTGGATCTTATGTTTAAAAGATTAACAGCGACCAAGGTTGATAGTATCTATGCCCAGAAATGTGTACCCCTGTTGTTTTGTCAGGCCATTAGTGTGGGGTTTTGAGTCTCTGATCCATAGTTGGCTAGTTGGGTTTTGTGTTTTTTGTTATTGCTAGTTAGTTTCAACAAGCTACCAACTTCAAATTTTTTTAGTGGCTTCTACCACCTTGTGTTTAGTGTAGGGTCTGGGGCCCTGGAGGGTTTTCTCAGTGTTCTTGCTCTACTCTCAGCTTTCAACAAGTCACGCTCACCTGTTCCATAGGGGAGTCTCTGTGCTCTTGCTCAGCTCTCAGTGGTAGATTGCTGTTGTTTTGTACTCTAGTCAAGGCTTTGGTTGTGGGGAGAGAGAATTTGGTCCTCCTGCTGGAGCTTTAATTTTAGGCAGTCCGTTGTCACCTGAGTGCCAGAGTGGTTATTATTAGTGTTCCTGCCCCTTCTCCCACCTCTCTCCGCAGCCTTGTATCAAGAGAAGGAATGATTGTCTTGCTCCTCTTCCAACAACAGCAGACCTTTGCTTTATATCAATGTAAGATCTTGGGCCCAAGCTGGCTTCAGACTTGCCCCTGACAGTGATGGCTGGGTTTTTTTTCTCTCTTTCAGTGGTGGCTGACCTTTGTCAGCGATCAGAGAGTGGGCAAATTCCCCCTCCTCATCCAGTAGCAGCTAGCTTTGTTTCTAGAAACCCCTCTTTCAGTAGAAGCTTGGTTTTTTTTCTTGGGCAGGGGGTGTGAGGGTTTCCTTCTGAGATGTTTAAAACTTATCCTCAATGTCTTTCTGTGTATCATATTTCAAGGTTGTCTGTTTAGAAGATTAGTTCCTGATGAGCAGAAGGATATTTAGAGAATTTATAGAAGGATGCCTACTATTTGGTTACTATTATAATATGCCAATATGTCTGTTCTTTTACAGCTTAGGCTTGATTTCCGACTCTTTTCACATGTTTTTCGATAGCACTGCCATTTTGGCTGGATTGGCAGCATCTGTTATTTCCAAATGGAGAGATAATGATGCTTTCTCTTATGGGTAAGACCTTTTAAAAACTTTTTTATCGAAGTATAAGAAATACAGAAAATAAATCTTAAGCATAATGAATATTCACAAATTGAACACATTTGTATAACTTGAACTCTTGAATTCCCCCTCATGCCTCCTTCTCGTTCCTTCCCATGTCACTCCCCAAGAGTAACAAGCACTTCCCTAACTTGGTGGATTAGTTTTAAGCTGTTTTTGAACAGTATGTAATTGCAATCTACAGTATATATATATTTTTTGTTTTTGCATCGAAGTTCTTTTGCTTAGAGATAGGACATCTTGGTTTTACCAGAAAATTTTAATTGAAATTTTTTGCTAGATAGGGGACTTCCTCAACTCTTAACCTAATTTTTTTAAGAAGAAGAAAAAATATTTCAGTTTATGAAAATGGTCATGTTTCTTTTTTAAAGAGATACTTTGCCGTTAATTTATTTAAAATCATTATTTTCTAATCGGATTTTATATTACCCTCTGCACTTCTGCTTTTATGAAAAATACTTCTTTTCATACTCTTGCTGAATTTGGCTAACTAAATATTTGGAGAGTTTTTATGCTGAAGAGACCATATTGGCACATCTGGTCTCACTTCCAAGCCTCGTACCCTTCGAGGCAGGGTTTGCCTTTTGTCCATCTCTGACTGGGGGAAGCAATGAAGTTTCTGATGTTTGAGTGATCTGCCTGGGTGTTTTCTTTTTTGAGTTCATAGAGTATTTTGCAGTGTAATTATATTTACATGTAACCAGTACTCAGAGGTAGTACCCTTTTTCTCTGTCTCCCCGTCCACTTTCTCTTTCCTTCCTGCTCCCCCCTTGCCTCTTACTTGTTGACTCTTGTCTAGCTCCCTTGTGAGTGCTCTCTCACATTCTCTCCTTTCTTCACTCTTTCCTACTTTTTTTCTCTTTCACTCTCATCCCCATCCTCATGTTCACTGTCATCTCTCCGGAACTCCCTAACCTCCTCTCTTGTACTTTCCAGTTCCTTGTGCCTGTGCTCATGGTCTTTGTCTATCCCTCAGCCTTCCACCCTCTCCTTCCTCTCTTTCTCTCTCCTGCACACCTTTGTTCTCTCCCTCTACCCTTGACTGCTGTATCTCTCAGGTCTTCCTTATTTCCTTCTCCCTCTCTCTCAACCTCTTCTGCCCTAAGTCCTTCTTCTCTCCCTTTCCCAGTCTTTTTCCTTCTCTCCCTGATCCTCCTCCTGGAAGGCTCTCTTTCCTTTGCACCGTCTCTCATTCTCTCCTGCCTGCTCATAGCCACTCTCTTAGCGCACTGCCTCTTACTCCCCTTGTTCTTTTACTCTTGTTCCCTCACTGCTTTCCTCTTTCTTTCCACCTTTTGCTTTTGTTCCTGAACAAGCAAGCACACACTGTCTTTCTTGTACATGCTCTTGTTCTCTTCAGAGGGCCCACTGTGAGTCTAATCCTTTGCCTCTTAGAAAGATGAATAAGATATGTCTTCTGCCTTGGAGGAACTTGTGGTCAGATGGAAAAATGGTTCAGTAAAAATACCATAATGACTGTACGTTGTGACAAGTGCCAAAAGAGAGATATATGAAATTCTGACAAAACTTGCTGATTTGGGGTATAACTGAAGTGATATAATTATTTGTAAGATTATAAAAATGAGGCAAAAACACTAATTATACTGTTTTTATAGACTAGAGAGAGAGATCTGTATATAAATAAATCCAAACAGCTCAGAAGAGAACATTTTCCATGGCATTATGCAATCAAAAGATTCTTAAGTGTGTTTTGAATCATTAAAGAAAAATTGTATGTAAAGTTCTAATTTTGTGTTGGAAAATTAGTAATTCATATATATCATATATCAGAAATCTGATTAGAGTATCTTACTGAACAAGTTTTTGGGATAAAGAATAGGTGACTATAAAAGTTCTCAGTTCTTACACGTTAGGATATCTGTTGTTTTCTGTTTAGGTTGCATAGTCTCCACTGTAAGATGGTTTTTAGGCATAACTTTGATACCTTCAGTACCATAGCGGTTTTAACTGTGCAACTTCAACTCATTTATATGAGGGAGTAATATTCTTGCCATCTTTTTATCTCTTATTCTATCTTTTCCTTGTTTGCCTTTTTCTTTTGAGAAGGAAAAAATTAGGGAATAAAATCTGATGCAACATTTGAACCCATTAATGATTGCTATAGTAGTAAGCAGTAAAATATAGGTACCAGTACATCAAAATGACACTGGATAGACTAAGCCTAGGGATGAATCTCCAAAACCCTGATTCAGTATGATCGCAATAGCAGACTGACTACAATAGAAGATTAGGAGGAATCTGAGAGGCAGAAGACTTTTCAGTATTTCTCTATAGAAAAGTCACTTTTGTATCTGGTCACACTATTTTTGAAATAGCGATGCCAGTATAAAAATAATATATGTCTGATGGGTAGATACGTATGTACATGCCTTCACACATATGTGTATGTACGTGAATCCTTTTTTGCCTTGGCTAAAGAATCCAGATGTCATCATACTTAATTAGGCAATAGCACGTTCGTGAATTATATGTTGTAATTCCAAGACTCACTCTGTTGAAGTAAACAGTTATTTGTAGAGTCAAGTATGTCTGGTTTTCACAAAATTTTCACTTGATTCCTGCAAGCAAGGTTAGCAAATATATTAAGCCTAATTAAATCACTTGAGTCCAACAGCGGATCAGAATTTATTAAGCACATACTAAGCTAGGCACTAGAGAGACAAAAAGATGCCTGAAAAACATTTCTACGTCTGATCTTGAAATCCAGTGGAACTCAAGGACAAAAGGCTTTCAATCAAGCATTAGCTTTGGGAATAGAAGAGTGGGTTAAAAGAAAGTGCTTTTTTTATTTTGAGGTTAGTAACCCTGCTGATAGATTAGGTAAATTCCTAAGTGTTTACTATGGAAGCAGGCTGAATTTAATGAATGTTTTCTCCTGAAAAATAAAAAGGCATATGCTTTGACAAATATGTAAATCTAATTCATCCGTATGTATTAGAAGGTAGAAATCTGCATTCTTTCTGAATGTAGAAATACATGCTGTGTTGGAATGTACTGAAAGAGCAAACTGCAACATAACTGCAATGAGTACATTTTTTTAATGTTTATTTTTGTGAGAGAGACAGAGCATGAGCTGGGGAGGGGCAGAGGAAGAGGGAGACACAGAATCCTAAGCAGGCTCCAGGCTCTGAGCTGTCAAGACAGAGCCCGATGTGGGGCTCGAACTCAAAACTGTGAGATCATGGCCTGAGCCAAAGTCGGACACTCAAATGACTGAGCCACCCAGGTGCCCCTGAAACGAGTACATTTTAAATAGTTTGTTCTCTTTAAAAATGTTTTTTACAGTAAAGCTTGTATAATCTAGAAGTTGACAAAGCTAGGAAAAGCAGAATTTTTGATGTTCCTATTATATTATTTAAGGACCATAGTGATTAACTGCTCTCAGCACCCTTTGAATCAAGTTAAGACATGTAAAACTGCCAAGTTGAAGTTTCTAATGACTTTACCTAAGCCACATATACCTTAACAGAAAAATAGAATCTTTCCCTGATGCTTCATGCAGGTAGGAAGCAGAAAGCTTCAGAAGTCCATAGAGAAAAAGGCAGGCGTTTAAAAAATAGTTTAATTAAAATTATATGAAGCCAGGATTGATTCTAAAAATAGGCGATTGAAAAGTTTTTGTTAAATGTATTAATCTTAGAAAAGAGTGATTAGGAATGTAAATCTTAAGTTGGCTCTAGGATGATTGTGTTTTCCTTCAGATCAAAGTTCCATTTTCCAAAGATTTCAAAACTGAAAGTTATAAAACAAAAAGTATAAGGAGTTTTTAGAAAAGAAGCAAATAAGTTATTAAACCCCTCTTTCAGAAAAGTCCTTTGCTCCTACTTTTTATTTCTTAGATCCTTCCTTCTTTGCCTCCTTGTCCAGTCCAATTTTTCCTTCTCCAGGGGCACCTTGAAATTTATGTTTCTGTGCAGGGTCTTTCTAAACGTACTTACTCGAGGAAGGTCTTTTGATTGGCTTGTAGAGATGGATGTGGTTTATGGCATTTTGCTATTATACATAATTCATAATAATTAAAGTCATTTCCTCATTTCTACAGTATATATAGAATAAAGCATACTATACTATAAATACTAGGACTTTGCTGGCTGCTTTTAACCATATAATATGGTTTAGAATCTCTGAATGTATATAAATGTATTATTTGATTTTTAAGAAATAATAATTCATTTGTTTACTTTGCTCTTCTTTAGGTATGTTAGAGCGGAAGTTCTGGCTGGCTTTGTCAATGGCCTGTTTTTGATCTTCACTGCTTTTTTTATTTTCTCAGAAGGAGTTGAGGTATTGTAGATAATGATTAGAGTCAGTAAATTACATTTCTGCAAGGAAAATGTTTATGAACTAAAGATACATGTATAAAGCTGTCTTCACACTGTTATTAAGTATTATTGAGGACAGTCTTAGATTAGGTAAAATATGTAAGAGGAGCTTACAAAATAGTGGAAAAATTAAATATATGTGAAACTACTTGAAATTGAAAACCATTAAATGATAGTGCTTTATAAGCTATGAATGAATTGTAGACGCTGTGAAAAGTAAAGGCACGGTCTGGGTAGTGAGGTCAGCTGGGAAGAGTTCTTAAATCCGAGAATTTTGTCAGTGAACCTGTAATATTTGGCATATTAAAGAAATATAAAGAGAAAATTGAAAGATCAATGAACCTGAAATGAATGGCAGTATTTTATGATACCAAAGAGGGATGGTTTTTAGACCAAATAGTCATGCTTTTAAATATTGGTGTGTAGTTAAAAATAGTAATTACTACCTTGTCTGCAGTATGTGAGCACTATTTTTTTTTCTAGAAACTGTTTTGGTATATATTTATAGAGTACTTTTAATTCTGAAAATAAAAATTTTTAAAGATTGCTTTTTGTTTTTACCAGTTGATCACTCAAAAATTATATCAATGCTGTTTGTTTGTGTTACGTGTTTTCTAGAGAGCATTAGCCCCTCCAGATGTACACCATGAGAGACTGCTTCTTGTTTCAATTCTTGGGTTTGTGGTAAACCTAATAGGAATATTTGTTTTCAAGCATGGAGGTCATGGACATTCTCATGGCTCTGGTATGATGGTTAGAACGCTTTGTTTCTTCATTTTCTCTTTTCATCATAATTATCACTTTTGAAAATTGATACATTTTAAAGTTAAAGTCTATGTTGGTTTTTTTTTAAGTTTATTTATTTTGACAGAGAGAGAGAGAGAGAGAGAGAGAGAGAGAGAGCAAGCATGAGTGGAGGAGGGGCAGAGAGAGAGGGGGAGAGAAGAGAATTCTAGGCAGGCTCCGCCTTGTCAATGCAGAACCCGATGTGGGACTCTATTTCATGAACCGTGAGATCATGACCTGAGCCAAAATCAAGAGTCTGATGCTTAACCGACTGAGCCACCCAGGAACCCCTATGTTGATTTAACAACAGAAATAATATGTTAATAGACACTTATTAATGTCTTCTTGAACCATCACTCCCACTTCTCCATGTGTCTCCATCTCAGTGCCATCTCAGAGTTACACATAATCAAGTTTGGTTATGGATGCTTCCATACCTCTGTAGCTGTGGACACCATTTATATAAAACCAACAAATAAACATTAGAAACAATAAAACCAATCTAGTTACTAAAAATTACAGTACATGTGGCTATGAAATTTATTATACAATCTGTCTTTGAGATCCTTCTATTTGGTATGTATCAGTTGGCCTTCTCTTGTTGACACATAAAACTCCATGGTGTGGGATACCATGGCTTATTTAACTGGTCTTCTGTATGTAGACTGTAAGTCATTTCCATATGAAACGTATCCTTGTGAACATATGCAGTTGTTTTTCCAGAGTTTTGCTGTCCCATATAGTAGCCATTAGTCACATGTGGCTATTTAAATTTAAATTATGGTTATTTAAATTTAATAAAATTAAAAATTAACTTCTTCAGTTACACTAGTGACATTTTAAGTGCTCAGTAGCCACATAGGGCTACCATATTGGACAGCAGATACAGAACATTTCCATTGTCACAGAAAGTTCTTTGAGTTGCACTGTTCTGGACTATAAGTAGAGTTGCTGGAACACAGGAAATACAGTTTTTAGTTTCAGTAGACAATAGCAAATTGCCCTCAAAATTACTATCATTCACATTTATCCCAGCAATGAATGTCAGTACTAATTTCCTTCCACTCAAATCAAAACTTATTATTACGATTGGAGCTCCTGGATGGCTCAGTCTGTTAAGCATCTTACTCTTGATTTCAGCTCAAGTCATGATCTCATGGTCAGGAGATCGAGCCCCACATCAGGCTCTATGCTGATAGCACAGAGTCTGCTTGGGATTCTCTCCTTCTCTGTCTGCCTCTCCCCGGCTTGTGCTTGTGCACTTTCTCTTTCAAAACAAATAAATAAACTTAAAAGAAAATTTAAAAAAACACAAAACTTATTATTATGGGTTTAAGACTGTTTTGCTAGTAGTTTGATAAAAATGATATCTCATTTTATTTGTTATTTCTTGTTTAGTAGTGAGGTTGAAAATCTTTCTGTATGGTTTTAGGACATTCAAGTTTATCCTCCTGAACTATTTATTTATTTCTGCTTGTTTTTCTATCCTCTTCTTGTTAATCCATTTTTAATAATTTTTATATATTTTGTATACTAATCATTTGTTTTATGTGTTGCAAACATCTTTTCCCAATCTATGGCTTATCTTTAAACTTTTATGTAGGTGTTTTTTTTTTTTTTTTTTTTTCAACATTTATTTATTTTTTTTTGGGACAGAGAGAGACAGAGCATGAATGGGGGAGGGGCAGAGAGAGAGGGAGACACAGAATCGGAAACAGGCTCCAGGCTCTGAGCCATCAGCCCAGAGCCTGACGCGGGGCTCGAACTCACGGACCGCGAGATCGTGACCTGGCTGAAGTCGGACGCTTAACCGACTGCGCCACCCAGGCGCCCCGTATGTAGGTGTTCTTAATTTTGATATAGTCTTAGTTTTTCTGTCTTACATTTTTTTCTGGTATGTTTTCTACTTTGAGAAATTTCCATTTTCTGAGTCATAAACATGTCTCATATTTTAATACCGTTAAAATTTAGGGTTTTTTTTCCCAATCCATTTTGTTCCTTCATCTATATGTAATTTGTTTTTGTGGTAGGGTGAGTTAGGACTTAACTTTTTATTTCCAGTGTGAATAAGCAGGTTTTCCAAGCACCAGTTATTAACCTGCCTTTTACCCCATTGATGTAAAACAACACTTTTAGCCTATATTAAGTTACCTTTTAAAATTGTTTGGGCCTGTCTTGCCCATTTGGTTTTTTCATCAGCTTGTCAAGTTGTATGAAAAATCTTTTTGGGATTTTGATTGGGAATGCATAAAATTTTTTTTATGTCTTTTACTAAATTATCTTATCTATTTTAATAAAGATCTTTGTATTTTTTGATCAGTTTATTTTTAAGTAGTTGACTGTTTTTATTACTATTAAGAATAGAAATTATTATTCCTCTTGTCTTATTGTATAGCCAGGACCCCTAGCACAGTGTTGATTAGATATACTTAAAGTTTGTATCCTTGTGTCAAAGTGGATAGTCACCTGAGTAACTTAAAAAAAAAAACAAAAACCTTAATGCCTGGGTTTAATCGCAGAACATTTTTATCAGAATCTCCAGAGGAAAATGCAAGCATCGGCATATTTTAATATGCATTCTTCATTGATTTAATGAAGAATGCTACTAAAGTTTTATCATTTGGTCTGATGTTTATGGTCTATTTCTGATGAAACTGTCTTATCAAGTTAAGATATTACTTTTTATTCCTGCATCTATTGAAGTAATCATTTTTTCTTCCTTAGTTAATTTAAAATTTGTAATTACATTGATAGATTTCTCATAAGGAACCATCCTTAAATTTTGTGTCTATATTTTGGTCTACATTTGGGTGTGTGATCCATTTTCAGTCAATTTTTGTATATCATGTGAGGTATGGGTCCAATATCATTTTCTTATATATAGATATCTGGTTGTCTCAGCACCATGTTAAAAAGATTATTTCCCCCCATCGAATTGTGTTGGCACACTTGTCAACAATCAGTTGACTATAAATGTGAGAGTATTCTGGACTCTCAGTTCTTTTTCATTGATCTATATGTCTATCCTTATGCCAGTCCCTACTGTCTTGTTTAATGTACATTTGAGGTAGGTTTTGAAATTGGAACATGTGAGTTATCCAGCTTTTTCTTTTTTTAAGATTATTTTACTTATTTTGGATCCCCTCTTGGGTTTCCATATAAATTTTAAGATCAGGTTGTCAATTTCTGCCAAAAAAAAAAAAAAAAAAAGACGGTTGGGATTTTTATAGAAATTGTATTGAATCTGTAGATGAATTTGAGGAGTATTGTCATCTTAACAATGGTAAGTCTTCTGGTCCATGAACATGGGATGCCTTCACATTTATTTATAGCTTCTTTAATTTCTTTCAACATGTTTTATAGTTATTAGCATACATGTTTCACACTTAACTTTACAGTTAGGCTTTCTTTTTTTGTTGTAGGTAGTATAAATGTGATTGTTTTCTTAATTTCATTTTTATATTGTTCTTTACTGATGTATAAGGATATAGTTCAATTTTGTATACTGATCTTGTGTCTTGCCACATTGCTGAAATTGTTCCGTATTCTAATTTTTAGTTTTTAGTGGATTCTAAATTTTAGTTTTTAGTGGATTCTGTAGAATTTTTTAGTGTCCTGTCATCTGTAAATAGAGATAGTTTGCTTCTTCCTTTCCATATGAATGCCTTTAAAAAAATTTTTTTTCTCTTGCTTAATTGCCCTGGTAGATCATTCGGTACAATATTAAATAGAAGTGGTAAGAGAGTACATTCTTGTCTTTTTCCTGATTTTAGGATGAAAGCATTCAATCTTTCTTCATTAAATATGCTGTTAGCTGTGTTTGCTGTGAGGAAGTTTATTTCTATTCCTAGTTTACTAGGTGTTTTTATCATGAAAGGGTACTGGGCTTTGTCACAACTTCTTCACTTTTTGAGATGATAGTTGGTTTTTATTCTTTATCCTTTTAATATGGCATATTACATTGCTTGATTTTTGGGTATTAAACCACCTTTGCATTCTTAGGATAAATCTCATTGGCCATGATTTATCTTTTTTATGTATTGCTTTATTTGGTTTGCTAGTATTTTGTTAAAGACACTGTGTCTATATTCTTAAGGAATTTTTAGTCTGTAGTTTGCAGGGTATCAGGGTAATGCTGCTCTTATGTAATGAGTTGGGAAATGTTCTCTTTTCTATTTATTTTTATTTTAGAGAGAGAAAGAGCATGAGCAGGGAAGAGGGGCAGAGGGAAGGAGGGAGGGAGGGAGGGAGAGAGAGAATCTTAAGCAGGCTCCACACTGCATGGAGCCTGATGTAGGGCTCTGTCACACCACCCTGGGATCATGACCTGACCCAAAATCAAGAGTTAAATGCTCAACCGACAGAGCCACCCAGGTGCCCCTCTTCTATTTACTTATTTATTTTTAAGGGAATTGGTGGGGAAGAGTACGGAATGTTTGGCAGAATTCATAAGTGGCAGAATTCAAAAGCCTGGCCTTTTCTTTTTCAGGTTTTAAATTCTTATTTTTATTTATTTTTTGCTTACTATAGGTTTGGTCACATTTTTATTTCTTCTTGAGTCAGTTTCAGTAGTGTGTACATTTCTAGGAATGTTCTTTTGTGCATTTGTTGTCCATTTCATCCAAAGTATCTTCTTTGTTTACTTGTTTATGGTATGTTTTTTTAAAAAAATTATTTTATTTCCATAAGGTCAGCAGTGAAGACCTTTCTTTACCAGTTTTAGTAATTTGTGCCTTCTGTCATTTTTTTTTTCTTGATTAGTTCTGTTAAAGGTTTATCAATTTTGTTGTTTTTTTTTTTAAAGAGTGCCCTTTTGTTTTATTGATTTTTTTCCCATTGTTTTTTTCTCTATATTAAATTTTATTTCTGCTTTAATACTTTTATGTCCTTATGCTTTGCCTTTAGTTTTTTTTTTTTAATTTCTTAAGATGGAAAATGAGATTATTAATTTGAGGGTTTTTTGTTTTTTTGCTTTTTTTTTTTTTTTTTTTTTTTTTTTTTTTTTTT